CAGTTCGTCGAAGGTCAGAAGAGGGCTTCAGATCCCCCTGGAACTGGAGTTAAGGACGGTTTGTAGCTGCCATGTGGGTGCCGGGAATCGAACCCGCCTCCTCTTGCAAGAGCAGTCAGTGCTCTTAACCACTGAGCTATCTCTCCAGCCCTGGAGATTTTAATAATTTAGCCCACAAGGAAGTCAAGATTGTCCTTAACTTACTATCATTAGAAGTTGGTCGAAAGCCAGGAATGGTGGCACATGCCTTTAATCCCAGCACTTGGGAGGCAGAGGCAGGCAGATCTCTGTGAGTTCAAGGCCAGCCTGGTCTACATAGTGAGATCCAGGCCAGCTGGGGGCTATAATGAGACCCTGTCTCAAAAAAAGAAGTTGATTGACTTCTGTAATAGATATAAGGCCAATGTTTACTCCAAAAATTTATGAACAGTGGGACCTGCACAGACAGAATCAATTTAACCAAGCAAAAATTAAATTAAATAAAAATTCATTAAGGTCACAATATTGGGAGCCACATTGGTGAGGGGGACTATTCCAAATAGATACTACAGTCTTTAGAGTTGCTAGTAAAGAAGGATTTGATACAGGACAATTCAGGTTCTGTTAGTGAGGTTAAGCAGCTACATTTGGCAAGACCTCTTTCCTCATGGTCACACATGAGGAGAACTATAAAGAACTAGAGAGAAAAACAAGGGAAATTTAGACAGGGGTGACAAGACATACCTACACTGTATCTGTTTGACCTAGATCTCTGATTTTCTGCATTCAACCTGGAGTTTAACCAGAGAATAAAAATGGCCTATAATGGAAAATATCATCAGAGGAGAGAGGAAACTTTAGTTTGCCTCCATTTAAAGACACAGGCTACTAGTTTTGATTATAAGTCTTCAAACATCTTGTCACCCCAAATATAGCCAGGATAAACTCGTTAGGTGATTGTAAAGGCAGATATTGTTGACTTCATTCTCTTTGATTATGAGTGATAAGTTCATTCTCATGAACTTATCAAAATTTAGAGATCTTGGGGCTGGAGAGATGGCTCAGCAGTTAAGAGCACTGACTGCTCTTGCAGAGGACCTGGGTTCAATTCCCAGCACCCACATAGCAACTAACAACCATCTGTAACTCCAGTTCCACGGGATAACTCCAGTTCCACGGGATCTGATGCTCTCTTCTGACCTCCTCAGTCACAGCACAAAATGGGTGCAACTTACAGACATGCAGGCAATATATTAAATCTAAAGATCTCAAAATCAAGTGTTCTTTTTTCATTTCCTGTTCTCAATGTAAGACTTAGTAGATTCAATTTTAAAAGAAGTAAATGCCTTTTTTAATATTAATAAATTGTCATA